GATTGTTTATTTTTCCTATACGAGGAGGCATTTCATAGATATCTGTTAGGATATTAAAATAATTTATATATAAATAATATTGGTATAAGTTGTAGATTTTATTTGTAATAAGTGTTTTGTACTACAAAAACTGATATATAATCTAATATACATATAATTTGATATATAAACTGATATGTATTTAATATAATTTTGAAAAAAATATTACAATCACTCCAACGTTGATGATCATCTGAACCAAGATCCATTTTATTCAAAAGATTTTCCTGAAATTCCTTTATGTTATCAGAATTAGGAAATCGCCCGGAAATTCCAGAAATGACGATTTCTTCTTCAGCATTGACTCTAGCATATGGATTGTATAGCTTGTTTTTATCCATCTTTTAAAAATTCTGGTAATTATAAGAAAAAGCTAATAAAACTTACAAAGTATGTGTATGTAAATTAAAAAGAAAAAGAAATTTTATTAAAAATCATTTTTTGAAGAATGAAAAATTTAACATTAAAAGAAGAAAGAAAAAGAGAATAGTTGCATAATTTAAAATCTTAACATTTTCTTAGAAAATATATATAAAATTTAATTAAATTATTCTAATCAATAGCTTAATCATAATACAGCAAAATTAATTTAATTAATCAAAATTTGATTTATATATTACTTAAGAAATAAAAGATTTTAAGATAAATATGATTATGCAAATGTATCGTTATTATGTAAGTATAATTATTAAGATATAATACATAAAAATCGTAACAAGAAATAATTTGTATTTTGTGTTTCAAAGCAAAAAGAGAGATTGAGTAGGGGAAGAGAGAGAGAGAGAGAGAGAGAGAGAGAGAGAGCGCAAAGCCAATTTCGCAAAAATGATTCAAGTAGTAATAAAATTCAAAAATAGCAGAAGTATTTAGAATACTTTTTAAACATATACTTTAATGGTATATTTATAGCATATATTATATACATATGCTTTAGTTTTATAAAGAAATAATATTTGAGATAATTTATTCAAAAATTAAAAAGAAAACGTTTGAAAAATGCAAGAAAATTTTAAACTCACCCCGTTGAATTTTTCAAAATTTCTTCTGTTTAAATATTAACAACAGTAGCGATGCTATTAAAAACAGAAAAAGAACTTCAACACTGATAAACACAATAATGATCTATATTGAATATAGATCTATATATATATATATATAGAATAGAATATGCGCACTATTAAATAAAAGTCTGTTAAATAATGTATGATTACAAACTCATGATATAACAATCTTATTTTCATTCAAAACACCGTATTTATGAATAATTAGTACCTTCAGGTCAGATTAATTTCATATTCATTTTGTGTCAAAGTTTAGAGGAACAATAATAATGCAGGAATGCGAGATTTGCGAATGTTATCATGTTTCGTCGATCTTGTCTTTTAATAATTTAATTTAATTTAATTTTGCTTTTGCTAAGAATACATGATTAAAATTATATGTATATTTGTATACATATATATATATATTTTTTTTTTTTTTTTTAATGTTATTTTTCGATGTGTTTTGAAACATTTTGAACACATTAGTATAGAAATCTGAAAAAATTTTTTTCATGAAAACAAAACTTCCTTTATGACGAAGCAATACATACGAGTATATGCATGTATTTTGACATTTGAGGACAGCACATATTCGTTTAAATAAAAAATGCATTTTGCACTTGATTATATTTTTGTTAAAATGCAAAACGTGACACTATTTACACCATTCAATCTCCACCATCATCTCACACCATCTCATATTTCTGCATTATTATCGCATCCGCTGAAATTTTACACAAAATGTACATAAAATTAATCTGCATTGAATGTACTAATTATGCATATAACTACGAAGTTTCTCATGGAAATAAGATTGTCATGATAACTTGAATTTAAAATAGTATCTGATGTAACAAACAAAATAGTATTTATTAACGAAACATTGCGAATTCAAAAATTATGATAAATACAGCAATAATTATACTATATAATGCAGATATAATTATGCTTGAATATATATATATATATATTAATATACATATATTAATTTTGTACATATCACTATATTTTTTAAAATTGTTTTGGATAATTATTTTAGTACGTTAGAAATTTTCAAGCATAATTATATCTGCATTATATTGTATAATTATTGCTGTATTTATCATAATTTTTTAATTTGCAACGCTTCGTTAATAAATACTATTTTGTTTGTTACATCAGATACTATTTTAAACTCAAGTTATCATGACAATCTTATTTCTATGAGAAACTTCGTAGTTATATGCATAATTAGTACATTCAATGCAGATTAATTTTATGTACATTTTGTGTAAAATTTCAGCGGATGCGATAATAATGCAGAAATATAGAGAGTTGAATGGTGTAAATGGTGTCACGTTTTGCATTTTAAAAAAATATAATCAAGTGCAAAATGCATTTTTTATTTAAACTAATATGTGCTGTCCTCAAACGTCAAAATACATGCATATATGTATTGCTTCGTCATAAAGGAAGTTTTGTTTTCATAAAAAAAATTTTTTCAGATTTCTTTACTAATGTGTTCAAAATGTTTCAAAACATCGAAAAATAACATTTTGAAAAATGTTTGTATGGGTGTGTCTGTATGTATGAATGTATGTACCCATTTTTTAACTTAAACATCTCAAGAATTATACTTTAAGCGTTCCAATTTGATATACAAGTAAAATAGTACAACACTTTTATTTACAGTCATTTTTATAAAAATACATATTGTATTTTAAATTTTAATGCAATTTCAATTTTTCAAAAATTGTTTGTGGTTGCTCTAACTTTCGTACATTTTGAGATATTGGGATAAATGTTTTTACATGAATACACTTTTTACACAAAGCATATTTGCATACAATGTTTTCATATACTTGACGTCCCTGATGAAAATAATTTTACCATTTTTCACGCGAAATTATATGAAAACTATGATTTTTTATTATATAATTACAAGTTTTTAAATTATTTCAACGTGATTTTTACGTTAAATTTTTACTTTAATGTTTTTAAAATATCTTTGACAAATGAGTTACAAAAATTTTTTAAATATTTTTTTGCTACTTAAAAAAAAGGTTACGAATTTTTACATTAGTACATTCCTCTATTATATATGTAATTTATTTCTACAACTAAATTACGTAATGTAGTTGTAGAAAGTCATAATTTTTTACATAAATTTATAAAAAACAACAAATATAGTTCAAATTGACGTAGATTATTATATATATATATAGACAGTGTGCCAAATTCGTTAAGTCTCTCTTTATCCATTAAAAACCGTTTATTTTAATCAATGTATACATAAAAACCTACATAAATATATTAGTTTGCGCTTCATTCACTGCGTTGGTTCCTTTGCTTATTTTTATTGTTAGTTTATTTTAATATTAATATAATATAAATTTTATTTAAAATATTTAATAAACGTTAAATAAATATTTACATTATTAACATTAAAATAAACGTTTTTTTTTAATGAATAAAAAGGGACTTAACCAATTATTTTAACGTTTTTAAAATATCTTAGAAAATGAGTTTTAAACATTTTTTTAAACATTTCTTTGCTACTTGGCTTATTATATCATGACAATTCCTTTAATATTATTTTTTTCTATGTTGTAGGGGTAGTGGGGGAATATTATTACAATAAGAACATTGATATACAGTCATCATACATCTGCATGAAAAATATTTACAAAGTCCATTTGTCCACGCATAGATGATGTTACGATATACAAAGTATATGAACATTTTTCGTACACGAGCAGTGACCTCTTTTTAGATATTTTTTATGCAAAAGTATGATGACTATAATTAATGTTCTCTCATTTGCCTTAAATAGTTATATATTTGCTCTTAAAAATGTTTGTGAAAAGTTGTAGAATATTGTGAATATAGTTGTGAATTTTGACAATTATTGTACAATTTCTACAACTTACTATTACAATAATTTTGAAAAATGTTTGTAAAAATTTTGTAAATATTTTTTACAGCTCACAACAATATTATTACAACTTATCATGAATTTGTCCATATTTCTAAAATTGGTAAAGTTATGATTTGTTGTTAAAAATTATTATTTTTAGTAGAAATACATAAATTATTGTAAAATTAGTTTGATCTAAATAGTGAGTATATAAGGAGCTTGAAATCGACACGACAACATAGTCTTTATTTCGTCTTCATACTATCATGTTATTATATCATATCATATTCTAAGATCGAATTTTTGTTTTTTAAAAAAGTTGTGATTTACTTTGTTTTAAGAACATAGCACTTGATAAGACCCGAAACCCACGGCCGAAACGTTGTGAATATTCAAAAATTACTTATTTACCAGAGTTGGTCGATTGAATTACTACCATTTTTAAATTATCATCTGGTGACTTTATAGTTTTATATCGTTTATTGTAAAATTATTTCCATCAGATATTTATAATTTTTCATAAATTTACTTAAAAAGTTGTGATTTTCTACAACTACATATTGTAGAAATTTGTAATTTTTACAAAAATTTTATAACTTTTACAATATATTAAAAATGTTCATATAAAAATATGTTGAAACTCCTAAAAATTTATAAATATTTTTTACAATTCAGTACAACTTATTACAACTTACCATGAATTTTTACAGTTTTCATGAATTTGTGAAAAGTTGCAATTTGTTGTTCAAAGTTTTAATTTTTCATAAAAATATGTAAATTGTTGTAAAATTATTTCCACCAGGGGTGTTTCATTTTTTTGTGTTAAAAATTTTGTTGCGATTATTTTACATAATTTCTGTTGTAACTATAATCATTATAAATCTTTAATACATAGCTTCTTTAATAAATTGTTGCGCCTCGGGCGAGGCACAAAAGGGATGTCGCCGGATTAGGAAGTGGACTTTCGAATCGTCGGGGTTTCCCCGTAAATTATAGTCTTGTTAGAATTTGAGTTCCTTTTCTTTATTCAATATATTGATATACAACCTAAATCGAGACTCTGCGTACATTTATTTCTAGACCTCTGGTAACTTCGTTTCTCTTTTCCGCTCGCTTGATGCGACTCTAGATTTATTCGAACTTTAGCTAACGACTCGTTTGAGTTCGAATCGGGAGTTATCCTTGATGTGACTCGGGTGATCGGTCTAGTTGAACTCACTCTCTGTTCACTCCCGAGTTCTTACGTGAACTCGGTTTTTCGTTTGGAAGGGGTGCCTGGCGACAGGCACCCGATTGATGAATAGCTTTTGCTTACGCGGCTAGATTTTGAGCTCGCGCTAAGCTGCTCGAAAGATGAAGCTCTTAGCTTGCGTCTTTGCGGTTTCCGGCCCGCTGCTGTATCAACGGTCTCCTCGCGAAAAATATAGTAATTCTATATTTTATATCCGCTATATTTATAATTATAGCCTTTCGGGCTATAACAAAATAAAGCTATTTTGTCCATCATTGTAATATGAGTACCTTCCACATAATGAACTTGTACTTTACTTTCGATAACCTGAAATGAATTTCTCGTATAAGAAATATATTAAAATATCTTAAAAATAATTTACAATGTAATTAAATTTACCTTATGTAGACCATAATCCTCTTCGAAAAAAGTGAAGAGCGTAAGTGTGTTTTAATAGTATTACAGATGATTTTAAGCACGGCAACAAAGATATATTGTAATCTTTTACAGCGATTATATGATCGTAAATTGTTGAACATAAAATATTCCGATTTTTAACAGTTAATGCAGTAATATTCTTTGAAAAATGGGAAAATACTTCTAACTTTTCCTCCCAAGTATTGCACTTATTCAGCTCTGATGCAAACTGTACATAATAATATAATATAAAAAAATAATATAATATAATAAGATAAAAAGTTTTACAAATATTACTCTATCCTTGTATTAACTATATAAACCATTTTTGTATCAACTATCCAGATAGCCACAGTAATTATTATGACATCATTTTGATGGCAAATGATGCATTTTGACATTAAAATGATGTCATAATAATTACTGTGGCTATCTGGGTATGTAAACGTAACCTAATCTAACAATTTTTATAGTAAAAATCATAAACCAATTTTAATAATTAACTAACCGTTTCATTGCTAGATCCAAGATACATTTCTACAAAACAAATTAAAATGTCATTTTGTAGTTCTTAATCCGACGGATAATTAAGAATTTTGTCAATGAAAAATTTTATTAAACCAGGAGCTCCGTCTATAAGTATTAAACGTCTAGAAAATTTTCGGCTTTCAATAATTTTGTCAATTCGATAGCAATTAAACATCCAAATGAATAACCCACAATAAGAAACTCCTTTCGACTTTTCATTTTCTCCACTATATACTAGAAAACGAAACATGCATATATATAATACAGTACGTAAAAAAAGTATGTTCATGATTATTTCAAATATATTATCTTATAATTTTATACAGGCAGAAGATATGCTGCTGATTTCGTTATTGAACGACTAACATCCCGAGTATGAAATATTTGCAAATAACACATCGTTGAAGATTCAATTTTCGATTCTATCAGTTTATATACTCTGGCACAACCATCAATTCCTAGTATAAGAAATATTTCTCTTTCAACATCTTCCCTTATGTACCGACTTCTATATAAATATCTCGATTTAAATCCGAATCGTTGAGTTTTCGTGTCAACATGTTTAATCCATCCAACTTATTTGCTTCAGCATCAATGATATCAGGGACCTCTTCTTGCTTGTCTGTATTTATCATTTGTTTAAGTTTAACAAAATTGAGATTTTGAATATCTTGTGCTGTCAATAAAATATTGAATTCTCTCTCTAACATCTGTTTAATTTCCACTGCTATCATTGAATCCATTCCTAGTTTGGCCAGTGATTTGGCCACTTTGGCGACGCCAAGTGAGAATTTTCCAATCCTATTTTAGAAAATATTAGAAAAAAATACATATTTAAATATAATTTTAAGCAAATTTTACTTGAAACAGCGATATAAAAATTTGCAATTAAAGTTTGCGTTTCTTTCAATGACTTTAATGAACTCGATTATTTGTTATAATTTTATAATGTACACTTAATAATAGTGTTAAATAATAGTTGATTTAATAAAGTGGAATAATAGTAAAATAATAGTTGATTAGATTTTGCTCTCACTGCACGATTATTTGATCTTCTTGGTTGACTTGCACCAGCTGTTATAAGTGCCAAGATTGCTTTCCAGTCAACCTGGTTAAAAGGTCTGGATTAGGATTCTTCTCTTGATGAGGCATTCAGACGTCACTGGCGTGATTTTCAAACTGAGCTTCATCATCTTGAAAAGATTCCTCAATGGATCGGATTATCCGAACAAGACGCCGACGTTGAGATCCACAGATTCGCTGATGCATCTGAAAGAGCCTATGCTGCCGTAATCTACTTGCGAACAATGAGAAATGGAGACTGTACAACTTGTCTAGTTACATCTAAGGCTAAGGTCGCTTCTATAAAACAGATAACGATACCTCGTTTAGAACTATGTGCAGCATTACTTCTTGCAAGACTTGCTTCTCACATTCGATCAACTCTCAAGCTCACTAAGGCACCACTGCATTTATGATCGGATTCGTTTGTTACCCTAGGATGGATTCAAGGCCATCCATCTCGATGGCGAACGTATGTCGTGTAGCGGACATCCAAAACAGTGTCCCAGATGCATTATGGCACCACGTCCCAGGTGGTGACAATCCGGCAGATTGTGCCTCACGAGGATTGACTCCCAGAGATCTTGTAACTCATCATCTGTGGTGGAAAGGTCCCTTTTGATTAAATGACTCTCCATCTACTTGGCTTTCTCAAATCGAAGCAAATGTAAACGAAGATCTTCTAGAAGCAATGACTGAATCTCACGCTGTTGTAACCAGATTCAGCCCACAGAAGAATCCTGCGAATTGGTGGTCGTCTGAAGCATGCAATCTTGGCTTTCGACGAGCGTCATCCTTTAATTCTGCCGAGCGACTCAACTTTCACTCGATTAGTTGTCGATGCATGTCACCGACGTTCACTTCACGGCGGAGCTCAGCTGACTCTTGCAATGATCCGTCAGCGCTACTGTTGGTCGTCTATGCCTCGTCCGTAACGAGACATTACCGTTGACGAAATGGTCTTTAGTATCATCCGGACACATCCTGGCGAAGACGGACAAGTACGCGTAGTCACCGTTTGCACTGCAGCTACAGAGCTTACACAACCGATTGTAAATCAACGATAAAAATATATAATATTATAATAGTTATAATAATATATTAAGAGTTTAACAAGGCTCTGTTATCTAAATATAAATTTAACGTATAAGACAGGCAATAAAGAGCCAAATCGCGGATGACAATGCGTTATCCTAACGAAACTAAATTATTTTTTTCCGTTAGAATTAAATACCGGTGCACAAGGCACCAAATTTTACTTGGACACGGCCAAGATTTTGAAATATGAAATAATCTCATGTTTGAGATTTAATTTCAATACCCCTTTAACCCCCCTACGGAAATAAATAAATGAATGCAAGAGAAAAATATAGATCCGAAAGTCGCTGAATCGGGAATCGAACCCGAGACCTTTCGCTTGCCGGGCGACTGCTCTTCCAACACTTATTTATGTCCAATATTTATTGACTGCGAAAGTAAGTGTACAAAATATTCACTGCCTCCTGTACTATCATAAAATTCTTCCATTAGCATTTTTTGCTTGTCAAGTGATGGATAAGTAATTCCTTCTTCTTTAAAGCCATCGCTGTTGGTTTTACCGTAGACAAAAATCGCGTAGATTCTCCTTGCATTCTTTGCCTTTTGCAGATACACTACTACAATTGCATCACCCCGCACGTAATCAGAACCTTCTTCATCATAAGGTTTACAGTAACCGTCAGCAGAGAGAACTCCTAAAATAACAAAATCGGCAGTTCATTTGTTTTAATCAATATATGAATATAAAATATACTGATGTTTTTTTATTCACAGCTCCTTGATTTATGTATCAAATACTTAAAAAATTTGAAAAATATACGATTATTCTTATTTTTGAAAAATAGAATCTACTATATTTAGCAAAACAAAAATTTTTATAAACTTTAATTAAATATTTTTTTTTAATAATGTGTCGACAATAGTATATACAGAGTGTAATTGAACAAACATATACGGAGCACACCATGAAACTAGCCCATTTGAAGATGATTTTTCTTCAGTGAAAATGTCGAGATATAAATAATTTTCAAGTTATCAATGTCTAAAAAATAAGGCCTTCTCACAAACTAAACTTTTTAGAGTTAAAATACAAAGAAAACTACATTTATCATTACTTAGTTTCAAGTAGAGTTTACTTTATTAGAATTTTAATTAAAGGTTTACAAAGTTACAAAGATACAAGATGGCAAAAATTGTGAGGAAAAAAATGATGACTTTTGACATTTTTGCTGAGGAAAAATTGTTTTCAAATTGGCCAAAAAATCTGAAGGTGTGTTGAATATTTGTTTTTTCAGCTGCATCTTGTATATATATATACATATATATATATAAAAGTTCTTTAATAGTGAAAAGTGACGTGTGTTCATTTAATCAACCCGATACAAGTCCTGACGCCCCAGATCCTCATCCCAATTTGGCGCGACCCCTTGTGCCTTACCCGAGGCACACAACAAAATTGATGGCAGCGGTGGGATTGCGCCGAAGGACCGTCAGGAACTACTCGGAAGAAGACCTGAAAAATACAGCAGTATTAATAATCAGGCACGTCGAAAATAATAATCGACGGGAAGCGGACAACACAGAAGGCATCAAATAAGACCTGTAACATATACGCGCATATAATAAACAGGCACGTCAGTTAGATAAAACAGCCGACGTAGAAGCAGCAGCGTGCCGTACGTGCAAGACACACACACACACACACACACACGGACAACGCATCAGCATACGTGAAGTAAGTCACCATCCAAGGACGCGATCTACGACAACACGGACAACGCATCGCACCGTACAGCGACCCGCAGGATCACCTTACAACGCCGGACCGTCAGCCGTATCAACACCGCCGAGCGATGACCTGCAGCGTCAGAAAGCGAGCGATAATTATGCTAGCCGTATTAATGATGATCGTATTCAATGCTAACGCAGCGGTATTAAGACGGTCAAGCCAAGAACCGTACGAACTCGAAGAATTCACCAACGAACCAGGTATACACTTCGAAAGAATAGGTCATCTACACTACTCTAAAAGCACATGGAAATTAGTGATAAAATTAGACCTAGCAACATTAAGTGTGAAACAGGGACATATGCAAAATTACATAGAGCAAACAGAAAAAACGTGCAATGTATTAACGCAACGGAAAACATGCCTTAACTTAGTTAACATTACGAAAAAAAAATTAAATTATTTAGAAAAAATAATAATGCAAATAACTACACTTTACGACAGACGTACAGACAAACGCAGGGGAATAATCAACGGAATAGGTACAATAGCAAAAACGTTGTTTGGTACCATGGACGCGGATGATGAAAAACATATAAATGAACAACTAGAGTTAATAAATAGCCGACAAAGCACAATACACAGTTCGAAACCAACTGACAGTAATCAACGACACGATAACACACATAAACAAATTAGAAAATATAATAGAGCAAAGTGAGAAACTCTTACAAGAAAATTTAGCAGAATATATTACATTAGAAAAAATACAGGAACAATACAAGTAATTATGGCAGCTTTAACAGACTCCATTAGGAAAGCTGAAAATATAGAATACTTGGCGCAAATCGAGAAAGGAAACATGCATCCGAAATTACTATCGTTCGATAACATTGTCGCGCATTTAAAGAAAGCCGCAGCACAATTAGAACAGGGATATTACTTCCCGTTTAGGACGCATACAGCAAGCTGGCATGAAATAAAGAAACATGCAAGCGTAAGCGCATACGTAAGCAAAGATTATAACCTATATACGATACTACCTATATACGCGGTTCCCAATAATTTCACAACCTAAATATAACATTATAAATGCAATCGAATTCTTCGCGCCAGCATATAATAAAACATTTAAAGGTATACAAATAGAAAACAATATGTTTGCCATAGATATGTAACTTTAAACTAACATATTTGATTATAACAAACGAAGATTTGCAGAAATGTAATAAAATAAACTCTTATTATATATGCGAGCACAGCATGCCGACTTATCGCATAAACACAAATATACCGTGCGAATTGCAACTGTATACGCAACGAATGCAAAATAAGCATGAATGTACAATAAGATACACTATCGGATAACGAGAACGACGTTATGGATCCCGTTACATCAGACACATACATGGTTGTACTCAACAGCTAAAGAAGAAAAAATAAATATAAAATGCGATGAATACACAGAAAGAAATGTAGGATTCGGTATTGGAGATAAGATATATTCTGCACAAATATTTAGAAAATCAAGGTTTGTAATTTTATTTGTTTCTCCTTTCGAGGCTTATAGCGGACTGCCTCTCGTCTCTCTTACAAGTCGCTCAGCCGCTCAGCTGATCCCGTCCCCACTCTTGTTTTTCTACAAAGGAATTCGAGCTGACAAAAACCCGAATCCTCGAAAGACTCGCATATTATATTATCTAAATGCGCGTATACATCAAATTATAATAACATATGATTAACAACGCATAGAGTTAACAATCCTACAGAAATTTGGTGATAAAAAATACAGGCCGACTAACCTTACGAGGAAACTGCCAAATTAAAACAGAGGACATGACATTAGAGACAAAAGAGACGATCTACGTAGCAAACATAGACACATATTTACCAAATTTTAACATTGCACCATCACAAGACGAGGACATGAGAGTACTCGACACATTGGATAACCTGACACAACACAACATAGAACTAATAGAGTTACGAACAAAGATAAACGACATAGACAATGATTTACGAGACAACGAACAAAAGTTTTATACAAAGAAACAATTTATTTACCCCATGACCTCGAGCGGTTTAATAATAACCATAATCATAATATTTATTATTGTCATTGTAATTTGGAAAATAAAAAATAAAAAAGACACTAAAAGAAAACCGAGAGTAACAATACTTGACGATGACTGGAATTTACCGAGATCCATACTGAAAAGAAGCAATAGCACACGTTTTTAGAAAATAGGAAACGATTGTAATTATATTGTAAACGGGCATAAAACATTTATAAACTTTAGGTTTAAGCGAAAAACTACGTACCTTCGTTTTTCTTCTTTAACGGGGGAGAGATGTTATATCCCTAAGAGATATAACTATTAATGTATAACTACTCGTATTACATCCGCTTGACGACGGACACTGACCGCGTAAAAACGCATACGCTGCGAGATATACGCGGAACCGAAATTGCTCAACGTGCAAGCAAAGCAGAAGGACTTTGAATCTGCTTCGCTTGCAACTAAATCCTTGACCGAGAAAGCCCGTTGCCAGGCACCCCTTCCGATCAAGGAAATTCCAAAAAGCGATACTGTAAAAATGGAGCAGAAGACGCGCCCGGCAGTCGCAGTCGCTCCCAAGTCGCTTCGAAGTCGACCTCGAGTCGTTAATTAAAACGACCTCGCTAGCCGCGTGCGATCTTTAACATCTTTTGGCAGTCGCGCGCGATACGCGAAGTTATAGTTAAATAGTGCCGCTAAACAAATATACGCACAAGTGTAACATTGGTGAAATAAAGAAAAGTCAAGCGATTAATTGAAATAAAAGTTCTTTAATAGTGAAAAGTGACGTGTGTTCATTTAACCAGATACAAGTCCTGACGCCCCGAATCCTCATCCCAATTTGGCGCGACCCCTTGTGCCTTATCCGAGGCACACAACAAAATTGGTTTGCTTGCACGTTGAGCAATTTCGGTTCCGCGTATATCTCGCAGCGTATGCGTTTTTACGCGGTCAGTGTCCGTCACCAAGCGGATGTAATACGAGTAGTTATACATTAATAGTTATATCTCTTAGGGATATAACAAATGGAACTTTAACACTGACTAAGACAATAATAATCCGTGCCGTAGAATAGAATATGCTCTATTGTCTGTTAAACCAAATATGATTCCAAATTTAAGATATCATAACAACCCTATTTGCATGAAAAATAGTGTGGTTATGAATAATTAGAACATTCAGTTCAGATTAATTTTATTGTATATACGTTTTGTGTCACAAAGTACAGCGAATACGATAATAATGCAGAAATGGGCGAC